CATCATCGAAACCCTATCAACAGATGGCCATCCAGCTTCTGAGTCATAAGAGACCTCCAAAGGTCATCCAAACCTACCCCCTTCAACCAGGCAGGAAGGCAACATCAAAACCCTCACAACAGATGGCCATCCAGCCTCTGAATCATAGAATCCTAGTCATAAGAGACCTCCAAAGGTCATCCATACCAACCCCCTTCTTTCAGACAGGAAGGCACCATCAAAACCCTCACAACAGATGGCCATCCAGCCTCTGAATCATAGACTCCTAGTCATAAAAGACCTCCAAAGGTCATCCATACCAACCCCCTCTTCCAGGCAGGAAGACATCATCAAAACCCTCACAACGGATGGCCATCCAGCCTCTGAATCATAGAATCCTAGTCATAAAAGACCTCCAAAGGTCATCCATACCAACCCCCTCTTCCAGGCAGGAAGACATCATCAAAACCCTCTCGACAGATGGCCATCCAGCTTCTGAGTCATAAGAGACCTCCAAAGGTCATCCAAACCTACCCCCTTCAACCAGGCAGGAAGGCAACATCAAAACCCTCACAACAGATGGCCATCCAATCTCTGAATCATAGAATCATAGTCATAAGAAACCTCCAAAGGTCATCCAGACCTACCTACATAAGACACCATCAGCGCCCTCCTGCCAGATGTTCAACACACTTTTATATAGAATCCTGGAGTTGGAAGAGACACCCAAAGGCAATCCATACCAACCCTCTTCCTTCAGGCAGGAAGGCACCATCAAAACCCTCACAACAGATGGCCATCCAGCCTCTGAATCATAGAATCCTAGTCATAAGAGACCTCCAAAGGTCATCCATACCAACCCCCTTCTTCCAGGCAGGCAGGCACAACCAAAACCCTCACAACAGATGGCCATCCAGCCTCCAAATCATGGAATCCTAGTCTTAAGAGACCTCCAAAGGTAATCCATACCAACCCCCTTCTTCCAAGCAGGAAAGTACAATCAAAACCCTCTCAACAGATGGCCATCCAGCCTCTGAATCATAGAATCCTAGTCATAAGAGACCTCCAAAGGTAATCCATACCAACCCCCCTTTTCCAGGCAGGAAGGCACCATCAAAACTCTCACAACAGATGACCATCCAGCCTCTGAATCATAGAATCCTAGTCATAAGAGACCTCCAAAGGTCATCCACACCAACTGTTCTTCCAGGCAGGAAGACACCATCAAAACCCTCACAACAGATGGCAAACACACTCTTATATAGAATCCTGGAGTTGGAAGACACCCCCAAAGGCAATCCATACCAACCCCCTTCTTTCAGGCAGGAAGGCACCATCAAAACCCTCACAACAGATGCCACACAGCCTCTGAATCATAGAATCCTAGTCATAAGAGACCTCCAAAGATCATCCATACAAACCCCCTTCCTCCAGGCAGGAAGGCACCATCATAACCCTCACAACAGATGGCCATCCAGCCTCCGACTCAAACAATCCTAGAGTTGGAAGGGACCCCCAAAAGCCATCTAGTCCAACCCCCTAAGCTGAGGCTGGATGGCTATCTGTCGGGAGGTCTTTGACGGTGTCTTCTTGATAGGCAGGATAGGGCTGGATTGGATGGCCCTTTGGGATCCCTTCCAACTCCAGGATTCAATAATAATAATAATTATAATAATAATAATAATAATAATAATAATAATATGTTGCACTCCCAGGTGACAGCAGGATTGAAGAGAAACATCTGGAAAAGCTGACATAATATGAGGATTTAAAGATCGAATTGCAAAGACTCTGGCACAAGCCAGTCAAGGTGCTCCCAGTGGTGATCGGCACACTGGGTACACTGCCTAAAGACCTTGGCCTGCCCTTAAACACAATCAACACTGGCAACATTACCTTCTGTCAGCTGCAAAGGCCACCCTATTCGGATCTGCACACATTATTCACCAATACATCACACAGTCCTAGACACCTGGGAAGCGTCAACGTGTGATCCAATACAACAGCCAGCAGAGTGATCTTGTCTGCTGTGACTCATCTTGTTGTGTTTCAAATAATAATAATAATAATAATAATAATAATAATAATAATAATAAATTATAATGATTATGGATCCTCCTTCTTGAGGCCTTTTAAGTTGAGGCTGAGTTGGGAGGCCTTTGATTGTGTCTTCTGGCCAGAATGTGGTGGAACTGGATGACCTTTGGGGGTTCCTTCCAACTCTAGGATTCTATATTATTATTATTATTATTATTATTATTATTATTATTATTAGCCGTCCCCTACCACACGTTGCTGTGGCCCACATGGGGGTCCTGTGTGGGAGGTTTGGCCCAATTCTATCGTTGATGGGGGTCAGAATGCTCTGTGATTTAAGGTGAACTATAAATCCCAGCAACTACAACTCCCAAATGTCAAGATTCTATTTTCCCCAAACTCCACCAGTGTTCACATTTGGGCATATTGAGTATTCAAGTTTGGTCCAGATCCATCATTGTTTGAGTCCACAGTGATCTCTGGATGTAGGTGAACTACAACTCCAAAACCAAAGGACAATGCCTGCCAAACCCTTCCAGTATTTTCTGTTGGTCATGGGAGAACTGTGTGCCAAGTTTGGTTCAATTCCATCATTGGTGGGTTCCAAATGCTCTTTGATTGTAGGTGAACTATAAATCCCAGCAACTACAACTCCCAAATGACAAAATCAATTTTTTTGAGTGAAGGACATACATTGGGTTGTTAGGTGTCTTGTGTCCAAATTTGGTGTCAATTCGTCCAGTGGTTTTTGAGTTCTGTTAATCCCACAAACGAACATTACATTTTTATTTATATAGATTATTATATTGTATATTACATAGAATCATAGAATCATAGAATAGAGTTGGAAGAGACCTCATTGGCCATCCAGTCCAACCCATTCTGCCAAGAAGCAGGAATATTGCATTCAAATCACCCCTGACAGATGGCCATCCAGCCTCTGTTTAAAAGCTTCCAAAGAAGGAGCCTCCACCACACTCCGGGGCAGAGAGTTCCACTGCTGAACGGCTCTCACAGTCAGGAAGTTCTTCCTCATGTTCAGATGGAATCTCCTCTCTTGTAGTTCGAAGCCATTGTTCCGCGTCCTAGTCTCCAGGGAAGCAGAAAACAAGCTTGCTCCCTCCTCCCTGTGGCTTCCTCTCACATATTTATACATGGCTATCATGTCTCCGGAGCCCCCGGTGGCGCAGTGGGTTAAAGCACTGAGCTGCTGAGCTTGTTGATCGAAAGGTCGCAGGTTCGATTCCGGGGAGCGGCGTGAGCTTCCGCTGTCAGCCCTAGCTTCTGCCAACCTAGCAGTTCGAAAACATGCAAATGTGAGTAGAGCAATAGGTACCACTCCGGTGGGAAGGTAACGGCGCTCCATGCAGTCATGCTGGCCACATGACCTTGGAGGTGTCTACGGACAACGCGGGCTCTTCGGCTTAGAAATGGAGATGAGCACCACACCCCAGAGTCAGACATGACTGGACTTAATGTCAGGGGACATTAATACATACATAGCTATCATATCTCCTCTCAGCCTTCTCTTCTTCAGGCTAAACATGCCCAGCTCTTTAAGCCGCTCCTCATAGGGCTTGTTCTCCAGATCCTTGATCATTTTAGTCGCTCTCCTCTGGACACATTCCAGCTTGTCAATATCTCTCTTGAATTGTGGTGCCCAGAATTGGACACAATATTCCAGGTGTGGTCTAACCAAAGCGGAGCCCAAACCAAGTAAAATTTGTGGATAAGTAAGGTCTATTTTTGTTGTTGTTGTTGTTGTTGTTGTTGTTATCATTATCATTATTATTATTATTATTATTATTATTATTATTATTATTATTATTCCTCTTCCTTTAGGCTCATCATATTCTTACTATTTACTTATTTACGACATTTATATGCCACCTTTCTCACCCCGAAGGGGACTCAGAGCAGCATACAAGGTATATATTACATACAGTCTATGTATATAATAAAAGTCAGTGTTTGTATGCGGAGGGAGGACGGTGTATGTGGCAGCTGTCTGATTGGCTGCCACTTTCACAGGCCACTGTGACCAGCACGGGTGATGGACCTGGATCAAACTTGGCACACATAACCCCCATGATCCCCTTTACGTCCTGGTGAGGTTTGGGGGAGAATGGACAAAGGTTGGTGGGATTTGTAGTACTTCAAACCCATCGGTTCACACAGACCACTGTGGCCCCCAACAAAGACCAATAAAGAGCAAGCTTGGCACACAGAGTCCCTATGACCATTCTACATCCTACTGCAGTTTGAAGGAGGGCAGACCATGGATGATGGGACTTGAAGTACCTCCACTCACTTCCCAAGACCGCTGCAACCCTCATCCAATGACCGATCAAGACCAAACTTGGTACTCATAACCCCCATGATCCCCTTTACGTCCTGGTGAGGTTTGGGGGAGAATGGACAAAGGTTGGTGGGATTTGTAGTACTTCAAACCCATCGGTTCACACAGACCACTGTGGCCCCCAACAAAGACCAATAAAGAGCAAGCTTTGCACACAGAGTCTCTATGACCATTCTACATCCTATTGCAATCTGGCAATTGAAGTTTCCGAACAGTCTTCAAAGGCAACCCCAAGTAGAGTGCGTTGCAGTAATCTATCCGGGATGTAAAAAGAGCATGGACCACCGTGGCCAGATCCGACTTCTCAGGTGCTTTCAGCTTAAAATGTTCATCTGTCAGGAGATCTTTGAGGGTGTCTTCCTGCCTAGCAGAATGGAATGGGACTGGATGGTCTTTGGAGGTCTCTTCCCACTCTAGGATTCTATTTCCAGGGTTGAAGCCAAGGGCTGAAGATGGGGAGTATCTGAGGTCTTAGGGTCCCATCTGGCTTGTCCATTGGAATCCTCCCAAGCCAGTCCTTTGCAGCCCCCTAAGTCCCCCCTTCCCTCCTCTGACACCTCCGATGTCATGCCTGGAGCCGGTTCATGACGGATTGGCCTCCCTGAGCTGTTTAAAACCCTCAGGACTCGGAGCGATTAGCTCACAGCATAATCGGAGTGGCTGGAGTGTCTAAGGCACCCACCCAGTTGCAGACAGAGAGCTCCCTTGGCGTCTTTCTTTCTTCCCAGGGAAGTGGAGGTGGCCCTTGGGCCCAGGCTTCTTCCCAGGATGAGCTTTCAATCCATGGCCTCCTCCTCAGGTTCCCAGGCCTCCAGGTGTTCCTTGATTGTATAACCTTGAGCAATACAGGAAGGTAAGCAGTGCTGGCATTAGGAATGCCTGCTTTTAAACCTTTTCAAGAATGGAGAGGCCCCTTTAGGGTTTTGGAGAAGCAAAGAGGATTTGGAAGTTTGGTCCTTGGAATGGGAAAGCCGGGAGAAAAGGAAGGAGGGAGAAAGAGAAGGAAGGAAGAGGAAGGAAGGGAGGGAGGGAGGGAGGAAGGAAGGAAGGAAGGAAGGAAGGAAGGAAGAAGGAAGGAGGAAGGAGAGGAGGGAGGAAGGGAGAGAGAGGAGGAAGAGGAAGGAAGGAAAGGAAGGAAGGAAGAAGGGAAGAGAAGAAGGAAGGAAGGGGGGAAGGAAGGAAGAAAGGAGGGAGAGAAGGAAGGAAGGAAGGAAGGAAGGAAGGAAGGAAGGAAGGAAGAAGGAAGGAAGGAAGGAAGGAAGAAGGAGAGAAGAGAGGAAGAGAAGGAAGGTGGGAGAAGGAAGAGGAAGGGAGGAAGAAAGGAGGGAGGGAAGAGAAGGAGGGAGAGAAGGAGGGAGGGTAGGAGGGAAGAAAGGAGGGAGGGAAGAGGAAAGAAAGAGGGAAGGAAAGAGGGAAGGAAGGAAGAAGTGAGGGAAGGAAGGAAAAGGAAAGAAGAAGGATGGAGAGAAGTAGGGAGGAAGATGGAGAAGAAAGATGGGAAGGAAGGGAAGAAGAGAAAGAAAGGAAGAAAGGAGGGAGGGAAGGAAGGAAGAAAGGAGGGAGGGAAGAGGAAGGAAAGAGGGAAGGAAAAAAGAAGTGAAGGAAGGAAGGAAAAGGAAAGAAGAAGGAAGGAGAGAAGTAGGGAGGAAGATGGAGAAGAAAGATGGGAAGGAAGGGAAGAAGAGAAAGAAAGGAAGAAAGGAGGGAGGGAAGGAAGGAAGAAAGGAGGGAGGGAAGAGGAAGGAAAGAGGGAAGGAAAAAAGAAGTGAAGGAAGGAAGGAAAAGGAAAGAAGAAGGAAGGAGAGAAGTAGGGAGGAAGATGGAGAAGAAAGATGGGAAGGAAGGGAAGAAGAGAAAGAAAGGAAGAAAGGAGGGAGGGAAGGAAGGAAGAAAGGAGGGAGGGAAGAGGAAGGAAAGAGGGAAGGAAAAAAGAAGTGAAGGAAGGAAGGAAAAGGAAAGAAGAAGGAAGGAGAGAAGTAGGGAAGAAAATGTAGAAGGAAGGTGAGAAGGGAGGAAGAGGAAGGGAGGAAAGAAGAAAGGAGAGAGGGAGGGAAGGAAGAGGCAGGGAGGAAGAAGGGAGGAAGGGAAGGAAGGAAGAGGAAGGAAGGAAGCAAGCAAGGAAGGAGGGAGGAAGGAACGAGGAAAGGAGGGAGGTAATGAAGAGGAAGAAGTAAGGAGGAAGGGAAGGAAGGAGGAAGGGAGGGAGAGAGGGAAGAAAGAAAGAAGAAGGAAGGAATTTCAAGGCAATGCATTGTTTACTTTTGCATCAACCTCATTCCCACTGGAATGTATGGGAATTTGGCAATGCAACACTGTCTCAGGCCTCATTATTATTATTTATCACTCGCTACTATTCATGTCAGCCTGGGTAAAATGCTATATTCGGTCAAAGTATGTGTGTGTGTTTGTGTGTGTGTATGGATGTTTCTCCATTTGTACTATATAGGTAGATGCTAGGTGAAGTGGCCCTCTGCAATGTTGCTGGAGTGGCTGTTACTAGGTGAAGTGCCCCTCTGCGAAGTCACTCACTGGGAAAGAAAGGTGACATGTGTATAAAGGGGGGAGAGGGAAGAAAGAGGGAAAGAAGGGAAAGAAAGGAAAGGAGAAGGGGGAGAAAGAACAAAGAAGAGAGGGAAGAAAGGGAGAATGGGGGACAATGCCTGGCTGGAGAGCAGTACGTGTGAAAAAGATCTTGGAGTCCTCATGGACAACAAGTTAAACATGAGCCAACAATGTGATGTGGCGGCAAAAAAAGCCAATGGGATTTTGGCCTGCATCAAGAGGAGCATAGTGTCTAGATCTAGGGAAGTAATGCTACCCCTCTATTCTGTTTTGGTTAGACTACATCTGGAATATTGTGTCCAGTTCTGGGCACCACAATTCAAGAGAGATATTGACAAGCTGGAATGTGTCCAGAGGAGAGCGACTAAAATGATAAAAGGTCTGGAGAACAAGCCCTATGAGGAGCGGCTTAAGGAGGGCATGTTTAGCCTGAAGAAGAGAAGGCTGAGAGGAGATATGATAGCCATGTATAAATATGTGAGAGGAAGCCACAGGGAGGAGGGAGCAAGCTTGTTTTCTGCTTCCTTGGAGACTAGGATGCAATGGAACAATGGCTTCAAACTACAAGAGAGGATGTTCCACCTGAACATGAGGAAGAATTTCCTGTGAGAGCCGTTCAGCAGTGGAACTCTCTGCCCCAGAGTGTGGTGGAGGCTCCTTCTTTGGAAGCTTGTAAACAGGGGTTGGATGGCCATCTGTTAGGGGTGCTTTGAATGCAATATTCCTGCTTCTTGGCAGAATGGGGTTGGACTGGATGGCCCATGAGGTCTCTTCCAACTCTATGATTCTATGATTCTAATAATAACTCACTGCCACATTGTTGGATTATCAAATGTCTAGATGTCATTGGGGTTTGTGAAAATATTAGAAAGTTCAGTGAAAATGCAATGAAACAATGGAAAACCAAGTTGTTCATGGGCAACGAAAGCTATAGAACTGTTAACATCGAGAGAGGAATTTTCCAGGAATTTTCCAGATGGATGGCCATCTGTCAGGGGTGATTTGAATGCAATATTCCTGCTTCTTGGCAGAATGGGGTTGGACTGGATGGCCCATGAGGTCTCTTCCAACTCTTTGATTCTATGATTCTAAGAGAGAGGAAGGAAAGGAAAAAATGAAGGAAAGGAAGGAAGACGAAGGAGGAGGAAGAGGATGGAAAATGAAATGGCATATGAGAGAAACGTAAGACTTTAGGAATTAAAAAATCACCAAGAGAGCCTGCCAGAGCATTGCCCACATTGTGACGAAGGCCTTCTCAGAACTGGAGAAGGGGGAAAGTAGGGTATACGTGCTCGTTATAGTTATGAATGAAACTTTGCAACTCAAAGCCTCCCACTGAATCTCTATTATTATTATTTTTTCCAACCTTGCCCCTTCCCAACGCCCACTTCCTGCCCCATAGACTTCCTTAGACCTTGCCCGCCCGCCATGGCCTTGCCCCCTCCAAGGGTGTCTCTCTTCTCCCCCAGCCAGGTGGCCCGAGTCTGCGAGGCCCTGCAAGAGACCGGGGAGTTTGAGCGCCTGGCCCGCTTCCTGTGGTCCCTGCCGCCGTCTCTGGCCTTCCGGCCGCCTGAGGCCCTTGCCTGCGGGGCCCATGCCACCTGCCATGACTTGGAGATGCTCGGAGGACCCCTCCCGGCTGCCACTTGGCTGGCCCCCTACTGCAGCCAGGCCGGCCCGTACCATTTGGAGCCCTTGGGGTCCCTGTGCCATGGAGAGAAGTTTACGGCTGGGTTCTTGCCAGACCCGTTGCCTCCTGCACAGAAGAAGAACCCTGGCTTGCCAAGGGAGTCTGCCCAAGACAACGAACAGAAAGCCAATGGCTTCAAGGTGAGCAGGACCTGGCATGGGCTTCATAGTGAAGGAGGCCTCAAGGGTCTCTGAGTAAGGGGCTTTTGGGTGAAAGCCAACAAAATCAGCAAAAGAGAGAGATACCCTTTCTCTGTAGAGCACCACGGAAGAAACAAGATGTGACATTTAGAAGGTACTTCTTAAACAGGATGCTTGTGGTTAACTTCAAATGTTGTTTTTGAAAGCGCAGAGGCCACGTGTACAGAAGGTACTTTCCATCAAAAAGGTCAGAATTATTATTCATAAAAGGTGTTTTCCCTGAGCTTTCTGTTTGAAATGGGCTATAAAAGTTTGCAGATTGCAAGGGAGGAGACGGCAGCCACTTGCTATCAGGCTGTTCGTCTTTCTTCATGAAGAAACTAAAATAAAACCTTGTTTTTTTTATCTTTCACTGGGACTGTCTCCATCCTTCCGTGCTCCCGCGACTGGACCTAAAAAGACCCAATCTAGGGTCTCTAACAATAGAAGTCTCAAGCAACTGGTGAAAAAAATCATACTTCTTTGTGTGTGTGTATGCATGTATGTGTGTGTGTGTATACACACACACACATATATAAACACACACACACACACACACACACATATATATATATATATTAGGCCAATCCATGGTTTTAAAAGGTTCTAAAGTACTTACTAAACTAAAGTTCTGGTGGTGAAAATTTCAGAATTCTAACAAAACTCTCAAAATTTAATTATAAATGGCAGTTCCTAATTGGTTCTATCATAAAAAGCACTAGTAATGAAATAATAATTAAATTTTGAAAGTGTTGTTAGAGTTCTGAAATTTTCACCACCCAGAACTTTAGTTTTGCCTTCCCTCCCTCCTTACCTCTTCTTCCTTCCTTCCTCTTCATTCCCTCCCTCCTTTCCTTCCTTCCTTCCTTCCCTCCCTCCTTCCTCCCTCCCTTCCTCCTTTCTTCCTCCCTGCCTCTTCCTTCCCTCCCTCACTCCTTTCTTCTTTCCTTCTCTCCTTTTCCCTCCGTCCTTTCTTCTTCCCTTCCTTCCCACCTTCCTTCTACATTTTCCTCCCTACTTCTCTCCTTCCTTCTTCTTTCCTTTTCCTTCTTTCCCTCACTTCTTCTTTCCTTCCTTCCTTCCTTCCTTCCTTCCTTCCTTCCTTCCTTCCTTCCTTCCTTCCTTCCCTCTTTCCTTCCTCTTCCCTCCCTCCTTTCTTCCCTCCTACCCTCCCTCCTTCTCTCCCTCCTTCTCTTCCCTCCCTCCTTTCCTTCCTTCCTTCTTCTTCCTCCCTTCCTTCCCACCTTCCTCCCTACTTCTCTCCTTCCTTCTTCTTTCCTTTTCCTTCCTTCCCTCCCTTCTTCTCCTTCCTTCCTCTTTCCTTCCTCTTCCTCCTCCTTCCTTCCCTCCTCCCTCCTCCTTCTCTTCTCCCTCCCTCCTTTCCTTCCTTCTTCTTTCCTTCCTTTCCCCCCTTCCTCCTCTTCCCCCTCTCCTTCCTTCCTTCTTTCCTTTTCCTTCCTTCCTCTTCTCCCTCCCTCCCTCCCTTTTTCCTTCCTCTTCCCTCCCTCCTTCCTCTTCCCTCTTTCTTACTCCCTTCCTTTTCACCACCCAGAACTTTAGTATTGTAAGTACTTTAGTTTAGAACCATTTAGAACCATGGGTTGACCAGGCCTAATATATATGGATGCCGTGGGTAAACTTCACCCCTCCAGGTGTTTTGGACTTCAACTCCCAGAATTCCTAGCAGCCTACCAGCGCTTAGATTCTGGGAGTTGAAGTTCAAAACACATGGAGAGATGAAGTTTGCCAATGCCTGGTATTTGTATGTGTGTGTCAAAGTATGTATGCATACTTATCTGTACAAGAAAAGTTGTTGCTAGGTGGAGTGGACCTCTGTGAAGTTATGGGTTTGCTGTTGCTAGGTGAAGTGGCCCCTGTGTGATGACCACTGGGGAAAAAGTGACACATATACGTGAGGATTACATCTATGCATGTGTATATGCATGTATGTGTGTGAGAATACACACACACACACACACACACACACACACAAGTCAAATTATTGTGTATTTTTGTCTGTACAAGAAAAGTTGTTGCTAGGTGAAGTGGCCCCTGTGGGGTGACCACTGGGGGAAAAAGTGACACATATACACGAGGATTACATCTATGCATGTGTATATGCATGTATGTGTGTGAGAATATATACATACACATACACAAGTCAAATTATTGTGTATTTTCGTCTGTACAAGAAAAGTTGTTGCTAGGGGAAGTGGCCCTCTGTGAAGTCATGGATTGGCTGTTGCTAGGTGAAGTGGCCCTTGTGTGATGACCACTGGGAAAAAAGTGACACATATACATGAGGATTACATGTATGTATGTGTATATGCATGTATTTGTGTGAGAATATATATACATACACATACACAAGTCAAATTATTATGTATTTTTGTCTGTACAAGAAAAGTTGTTGCTAGGTGAAGTGGCTCATTGAAGTCATGGGTTGGCTGTTGCTAGGTGAAGTGGCCCCTGTGTGATGACCACTGGGGAAAGTGGCATTTATATGAGAAGGGAGGGAGAAAGGAAGGAAGGAAGGAAGGGGAAAAAAGAAAGAGAGAAAGCAGGGAAGAGAAAGGAAGGGATGATGGAAGAAAGGGAAGAGAGAAAAAGAAGGGAAGAGAAAGGAAGGAAGGAAGGAAGGAAGGAAGGAAGGAAGGAAGGAAGGAAGGAAGGAGGAGAAAGGGAAGAAAAGAAGGAAGGAAAGAGAGAAGAGAGAGAAAGGGAGGAGAAAGAAAGAAAGAAAGAAGGAAAAGAAGGAAAGAAGAAAGAAAGAAAGAAAGAAGAGAAGAGAAAGGAAGGGATATGAGGAAGGAAGGAAGGAAGGAAGGAAGGAAGGAAAAAGAAAGGATGGGAAAGGAAGGAAGGAAGGAAGGAAGGAAGGAAGGAAGGAGAAAGAAGGGAAAGAAAGGAAGGGGAAGGAAGGAAAGAAGAAGAGAGAAAGCAGGGAAGATAAAAGAAGGGAGAGAAGAGAGGGAAGAGAGAAAAGAAGGAAGGAGGAAAAAAAAAGAAAGAAAGAAAAGAAGAAAGGAAGGAAGGAAGGAAGGAAGGAAGGAAGGAAGGAAGAAAGAAGGAAGGAAGAAGAGGAAGGAAGGAAGGAAAAAAGAAGGGGGAAGGAAGGAGAAGAAGGAAGGAGAAGAAGGGAAAGAAAGGAGGGGAGGAAGGAAGGAAGGAAGGAAGGAAAAGGAAAGGAAGGAGGAAGGAGGAGAAAGGGAAAGAAGGATGGAAGGAAGGAAGGAAGGAAGGAAGGAAAGGAAGGAAGGAAGGAAGGAAGGAAGGAAGGAAGGAAGGAAGGAAGGAAAGAGAGGTAAGGGAAGAAGGAAGGAAGGAAGGAAGGAAGGAAGGAAGGAAGGAAGGAAGGAAGGAAGGAAGGAAGGAGAAAAACAAGGGAAAGATAGAATAGGAGAAGGAAGAAAGGGAGAGGGAAGGAAGAAAAAGGAGGGAAGGAAGGAAGAGAAAGAAAAGGGGGAAGGTATGAGGGGTGGGAAGAGAAAGAAGGGAAGAGAAAGGAAGAGATGAAGGAAGGGAGCCTATCCATTATTGCCAGTATGTTGCCATGGAGATATTGTGAGGTAGGTCTTCTCAGAGCTGGAGAAGGGAGAAAGTCGGTGGGGCAGCAGCCCCAATGAAAGCCAGGCATTGCAACATATATGCACTAAAAATCCCATTTCCAAAATACCTCATTGTGTGTGTACAGTAGACTCTCAGTTCATCATATCCAGCATCTACCAGGGAAAGGAGATAGACAAAAGACGATTACCTATAATTTAGCAGAGGAGCAGCTAAATTTGGCTCTCGTGTGTGGGTGTAATGGCAACTGGAGGTGATGTGATATCACTGCCAAAGAAATAGCTGAAAAAACAACTTATGTCTTGAGTTCCTTGTTGTCGATTCAAAAGAGCATCCTCCATGTTCAAAACCTTGGATGGATCTCATTTCTGCATGCATTTCAGGCTCCCTTCTTTGTCCAGAATGGCCATCTGTTGGGGGTGCTTTGATGGTGTCTTCCTGCAGGGCAGAATGGGCTTGGACTGGATGGCCTTTGGGGGTCGCTTCTGACTAGGATTCAATAATAATAATAATAATAATAATAATAATAATAATAATAATAATAAATGATGATGATGGAGTTTCCTTCTCTAGACCCATTTAAGCTAAGCCTGGATGGCTGTCTGTCGAGAGGGCTTTGATGGTGAGTTCCTGCATGGCAGGATGTGGTTGGACTGTATGGCCTTTGTGGGTCTCGTCTGACTCTAGGATTCAAAAACAACAACAACAATGACAACAACAACAACGACAACAACAACAACAACAACAACAACAACAAAAAGTAATAATAAAAGTAATAATAATAATAATAATAATAATAATAATAATAATGATGGAGTTTCCTTCTTTGAACCCTTTTAAGATGAGGCTGGATGACCATCTGTTGGGAGGGCTTTGATGGTGTCTTCCAGGATGGGGTTGGACTGGATGGTCTCTTCCACCTCTAGGATTCAATAATAATAATAATAATAATAATAATAATAATAATAATAATGGAGTTTCCTTCTCTGGACCCTTTTAAGCTGAGGCTGGATGGCTGTCTGTTGGGAGGGCTTTGATAGTTCCTTCCTGCATGGCAGGGTGGGGTTGGACTGGATGGCCTTTGGGGGTCTCTTCTGACTCTAGGATTGAATAATAATAATAATAATAATAATAATAATAATAATAAGTAGTAGTAGTAGTAGTAGTAGAAGTAGTAGTAATGATCATGAACATTCCTTCTCTGGACCTTTTTAAGATGTGGCTAGATGGCCATCTGTTGGGAGGGCTTTGATGGTGTCTTCCTGCATGGCATGATGGGGTTGGACTGGATGGCCCTTGGGGGTCTCTTCTGACACTAATATTGAATAATAATAATAATAATAATAATAATAATAATAATAATTAGTAGTAGTAGTAGTAGTAGAAGTAATAGTAATGATAATGGACTTTCCTTCTCTGGACCCTTTTAAGATGTGGCTGGATGACCATCTGTTGGGAGGGCTTTGATGATGTCTTCCTGCATGGCATGATGGGGTTGGACTGGATGGCCCTTGGGGGTCTCTTCTGACTCTAGGATTGAATAATAATAATAATAATAATAATAATAATAATAATAATAATAATGGAGTTTCCATAATAATAATAATAATAATAATAATAATAATAATAATAATAATAATAATAATAACAACAACAATAATGGAGTTTCCTTCTCTGGACCCTTTTAAGCTGAGGTTGGATGGCTGTCTGTTAGGAGGGCTTTGATAGTTCCTTCCTGCATGGCAGGATGAGGCTGGACTGGATGGCCTTTGAGGGTCTCTTCTGACTCTAGGATTGAATAATAATAATAATAATAAGTAGTAGTAGTTGTAGTAGTAGAAGTAGTAGTAATGATAATGGACTTTCCTTCTCTGGACCCTTTTAAGATGTGGCTGGATGACCATCTATTGGGAGGGCTTTGATGATGTCTTCCTGCATGGCAGGATGAGGTTGGACTGGATGGCCCTTGGGGATCTCTTCCAACTCTAGGATTCTATGAACCTCTAAAACGAACCCTCTGCTCCCAATAGGAAAGGACACGCAACCTTCTCAGGGAATGGTACCTCCAGGATCCGTACCCAAACCCTTCCCGCAAGAGGCACCTCGCCCAGGCTACTGGGCTCACTCCCACTCAAGTGGGCAACTGGTTCAAAAACCGCCGGCAGAGAGACCGGGCTGCTTCGGCCAAACACAGGTAAGGTACCCTTTCCCTCCAAGGACTTCCAAGATGAGAACACTCTGGCAGTGAAATCTGTTGCCTTGGAGTCTGGTGGAGTCTCCTTCTCCAAGCAGAAGCTGGATGGCAATCTGTTGGGAGGGCTTTGATGGTATCTTGAGGTTTTTAAGCAGCAACTGGTGGCCATCTGGCAGGAGGGCTTTGATGGTGTCTTCCTTCCCGGCAGAAGGAGGTTGGGGCTGGACGGATAGCTTCCAATGCTATGATTTCTATGATACATAGATATAGATATATACATAAATACAGGGGCTTGGACAGGATGGTTTTTGGTGTCTCTTCCAATTCTCCGATTGCTGTGATAGCTGGATGGATGGATGGACACACACACATACATACAGAAACATACACACAGGGGCTTGGATTGAATGGCTTTTGGTGTCTCTTCCAATACCATGATTTCTATGATAGATAGGATAGATAGATAGATAGATAGATAGATAGATAGATAGATAGATAGATAGATAGATAGATAGATAGACAGACAGACAGATAGCTAGAAGCATGGATGGATAGATAGATAGATAGACACATACATATAGGTAGGAGGATAGGTGGATGGATGGATTGTTGGATAGATGGATGGACACGCACACATACATATAGCTAGAAGGATGGATGGATGGATGGATGGATGGATGGATGGATGGATTGATGGCTGGCTGGATGGATGGGTGGATCATTGGATAGATGTTTGGATAGTTGGATGGATTGTTGGATAGATGAGTGGATTGATGGATGGATTGTTGTATAGATGGATGGATAGACACACATACATATAGCTGGAAGGATACAAGGATGGATCGTTGAATAGACGGATGGATTGATGGATGGATCATTGGATAGATGGATGGATGGATAGACACACATATATAGCTGGAAGGATAGATGGATGGATGGATCATTGGGTAGATGGATGGACCATTGGATTGATGGATGGATCGATGGGTAGATCAATGGATGGATGGACACACACACATACAAATAACTAGAAGCATAGATAGATGGATGGATTGTTGGATAGATGGGTGGATGGATCATTGGATAGACGGCTGGATGGATTGGTAGACACACATACCTACATAATAGCTAGAAGGATAGATGGATGGATGGATGGATGGATGGATGGATGGATGGATGGATGGATGGATGGATGGATGGATGGATGGATTGTTGGACAGACAGACAGACAGACAGACATATAGATAGATGGATGGATAGATAGATAGATAGATAGATAGATAGATAGATAGATAGAGATAGAGGCAGGCAGGCAGGCAGACATACAGACAGGCATATATATAGTTAGATGGCTGGATGGATGGATAGAGAGCTAGATACATACATATAACTAGATGGATAGATAGATGTATGGATGGATAGATAGATAGATAGATAGATAGATAGATAGACACACATACATATACCTAGAAGAATGAATGGATAGATAGATAGATAGATAGATAGATAGATAGATAGATAGATAGATAGATAGATAGATAGACAGACAGACAGACCCACATACATACACACACGCACATACAGAGGCTTGAACTGGATGGCCTTTGGGTTCTCTTCCAACTCTAGGATCCAAAAAGAGATTCCCAATTGGGCTCTCGGATGGAAAGGAGATTCCACCTGAACATGAGGAAGAACTTCCTGACTGTGAGAGCCGTTCAGCAGTGGAACTCTCTGTCCCGGAGTGTGGTGGAGTCTCCCTCTTTGGAAGCTTTTAAACAGAGGCTGAATGGCCATCTGTCAGGGGTGCTTTGAATGCAATATTCCTGCTTCTTGGCAGGGGGTTGGACTAGATGGCTCATGAGGTCTCTTCCAACTCTGTGATTCTACGATTCTATGATTCTCGTCCAATTCAGAGCCAATAGAAGTAAAAATTCTACTCAAGTTGAATGAAGAAGGGTTGAGGATGCTGGGCATATTTAGTCTGGAGAAGAAGAAAAATCCCAGGGGTGCCTTGACAGCTATCTGAATGGCTGTCAAGTAGAAGCTGGAACAAACTTGTCTTTTTCTCCTCCGAAGAATAGAATCTGAACCCATGGGTTCAGATAAGAGGAAAGGTGAGCACAACTCAACTTAGGCACTACGTTCAGTTGTACTCAACTTAGCAAACAAAAAGTATGAGATGTTGGGCGCTCTGTCCTTCCCACAAAGAATAAATATATAATACTAGCTGTCCCCTGCCAGGCGCTGTGGCCCAGTCTGGCGATTTGGAAAATAAAGTAATGAGAAAGTATTGGTTTGTAATATATATAATGTCTTTATGCTTGTGGGTAAACAGTATTTCTTTGCCAGTGTTGATGTGGAGATTGTCTGGTTTGCCAACTCTGGAACATGCAACATATCATCGTCCTTCTTTAGGGGTCCCTTTCAAATCTTTGATCTGTCATCTACATATATGTCTGCCTGTGAATGGCTGGATGGCCCTTTGTCAGGAGGGCTTTGATTATGTTTTCTTGCCCTGGTGAAGGGAGTTGGACTGGATGGCCTTAAGGCCGCATTTCTCAACCTGGGAAGTCATGGGGGTTCTGTGTGGGAAGTTTGCCCCAATTCTGTCATTGGTGGGGTTCAGAATGCGCCTTGAGTGTAGGTGAACTATAAATCCCAGTAACTACAACTCCCAAATTTCAAGGTGTATTTTCCCCAAACTCCATCTGTGTTTACTAAGTTCTTGTGGGTTTTTTCGGGCAATATGGCCATGTTCTAGAGGCATTTCTCCTGACGTTTCGCCTGCATCTATGGCAAGCATCCTCAGAGGTGAGGTCTGTTGGAACTGGGAAAAAGGGTTTATATATCTGTGGAATGACCAGGGTGAGACAAAGGACTTTTGTCAGTTGGGCTGGGTGTGAATGTTTCAACTGACCACCTTGATTAGCATACAATGGGCTGACTGTGCCTGGAGCAAACTCTTTGCAAATTACCTTTCTAGAAGAGTTTGCTCTAGAAGAGTGACTACCTCTGAGGATGCTTGCCATAGATGCAGGCAAAACGTCAGGAGAGAATGCCTCTAGAACATGGCAATATAGCCCGAAAAAACATACAACAACCCAGTGATTCTGGCCATGAAAGCCTTCGACAATACATAGACCTCACAACCTCTGAGAATGTCCGCCATAGATGCAGGCGAAATGTCAGGAGAAATGCCTCTAGAACATGGCCATATAGCCCGAAAAAAACCACAAGAACTTAGTGATTCCAGCCATGAAAGCCTTTGACAATCCATCTGTGTTTATATTTGGGCATATTGAGTATTTGTGCCAAGTTTGGTCCAGATCCATCATTGTTTGAGTCCACAGTGCTCTCTGGATGTAGGTGAACTACAACTCCCAAACTCAAGGTCAATGCCCACCAAACCCTTCTAGTTTTCTGATGGTCATGGGAGTTCTGTGTGCCAAGTTTGGTTCAATTCCATCATTGGTGGAGTTCAGAATGCTCTTGATTGTAGGTGAACTATAAATCCCAGCAACTACAACTCCCAAATGACAAAATCATATTTTTTGAGTGATGGTCACTCCTTGTGTTGTGAGACGTTTTGTTGCCAAATTTGGTGTGATTTCGTCCATTGGTTCTTTTGTTTTTAAGGTACTCATTATGCACAGAGCATTTATATATCTATACTAGCTGTACCCTGCCACGCGTTGCTGTGGCCTATAGTAAATCTTTTCAAAGTAGAGGTAGATATCTGGAGTATTATGAAAGAGAGGTACCTACCTATTCCTTCCCCCTTTTTCTCCCCCTTTCTCTCCTTTCTTCCTTCTCTACCTCTTTCTTTCTTTCCTTCTTTCGCTCCTTGGTTTCATCCTTCTCTCTTTCCTTCATTCCCTCCCCCTCTCTTCCTTTGCCTCCTTTCTTCCCTCTATGTTTCCTTCCTTCTTTCATTTTTTATTTCCTTTTCTCCTTCCTTCTTTACCTCTTTCCTGCCTTTCCTTCCTTTTATTTTTCTTTCCTTTCTACTTTCTCTTCTTCCTTCCTTCGGTACCTCTTTCTTTCCTGCCTTCCCTCCTTCCTTTCTTCCTTCCCATTGCTTACCAAACCCTTCTTGTGCTTTCTGTTGGGTCATGGGAGTCCTGTGTGCCACGTTTGGTTTAATTCCGTCGTTGGTGGAGTTCAGAATGCTTTGATTATAGGTAAACTATAAATCCCAGCAGCTTCAATGGAGGGGGGTGGGAGGAGGAGGAGGAGGAGTGCAGGGGTGGGGCCTCGGTGGCGGGGGGTGGGCGGAGGAGGAGGTGGGGTGTAGGGGCGGGGCGTCGGTGGGTGGGGGTGGGGCTTGCACAGAGGGGGGTGGGCGGAGGAGTGTAGGGGCGGGGCGTCGGTGAGTGGGGGCGGGGCTTGCACAGAGGGGGGTGGGTGGAGGAGGAGTGTAGGGGACAGGCGTCGGTGGGTGGGGGCGGGGCTTGCGCGGAGGGTGCATTGGCCGGCCGGCCATGTGTGCACGCCGGGGACTTGCGGCGGGGCGCCTCTGCACATGTTCAGTTGTTTTTCGTTGTTGTGAGTGTGTCGTTGTGTTGTTTCGAATTTTGAATCGGTTTGTGCATACCTTGTGGGGGCGGGGCGTCGGTGGGTGTGGGCGGGGCTTCGCGGAGGGGGGGGGGAGGAGGAGGTAGGGGGGGCGTCGGTGGGTGTGGGCGGGGCTTCGGCGGAGGGGGGGGAGGAGTGTAGGGGCGGGGCTTCGGTGGGTGTGGGCGGGGCTTTGGTGGAGGGGGGTGGGAGGAGGAGGAGTGCATGGGCGGGACATTGGTGGGTGTGGGCGGGGCTTCGGCAGAGGGGGTGGGAGGAGGAGTGCAGGGGCGGGGTGTCGGTGAGTTTGGGCGGGGCTTCGGCGGAGGGGGGGGGGAGGCAGGGGCGGGGCTTCGGTGGGTGTGGGCGGGGCTTCGGCGGAGGGGGGGAGGAGGAGGAGGCAGGGGCACGGCATCGGTGGGTGTGGGCGGGGCTTCGGCGGAGGGGGGTGGGAGGAGGAGGGGGCGGGGCGTCGGTGGGTGTGGCGGGGCTTCGGCGGAGGGGGGGGGAGGAGGGGGGGGGGCGTCGGTGGGTGTGGGCGGGGCTTTGGCGGGGGGGGGAGGAGGAGGGTGGAGGGGGCGGGGCGTCGGTGGGTGTGGGCGGGGCTTGGCGGAGGGGGGTGGGAGGAGGAGTGTAGGGGCGGGCGTCGGTGGGTGTGGGCGGGGCTTCGGCGGAGGGGGTGGGGAGGAGGAGTGGAGGGGCGGTGGGTGGGGCGCTTTGGCGGAGGGGGGTGGGAGGAGGAGTGTAGGGCGGGGCGTCGGTGGGTGTGGGCGGGGCTTCGGCGGAGGGGGTGGGAGGAGGAGTGTAGGGGCGGGGCGTCGGTGGGTGTGGGCGGGGCTTCGGCGGAGGGGGAGGGTAGGGCGGGGCGTCGGTGGGTGTGGGCGAGGCTTTGGTGGAGGGGGGAGGGAGGAGTGCATGGGTGGGGCGTCGGTGGGTGTGGGCGGGGCTTGGGAGGAGGACGAGGAGTGCATGGGCAGGGGGTTGGTGGGTGTGGGCGGGGCTTCGGCGGAGGGGGGTTGGAGGAGGAGGACGAGGAGTGCATGGGCAGGGGGTTGGTGGGTGTGGGCGGGGCTTCGGCGGAGGGGGGTTGGAGGAGGAGGACGAGGAGTGCAGGGGCAGGGCGTCGGTGGGTGTGGGCGGGGCTTTGGCGGAGGGGGGTGGGAGGAGGAGTGCAGGGGTGGGGCGTCGGTGGGTGTGGGCGGGGCTTTGGCGGAGGGGGGAGGGAGGTGCGGGGCTTGGAGTGGGCGGGGCTTTGGCGGAGGGGGTGGGAGGAGGAGGAGTGCATGGGCGGGCGTCGGTGGGTGTGGGGGGTGGCGGAGGGGGGTGGGAGGAGGAGGAGTGCATGGGTGGGGCGTCGGTGGGTGTGGGCGGGGCTTCGGGAGGGGTGGGAGGAGGAGTGTAGGGCGGGGCGTCGGTGGGTGTGGGCGGGGATTTGGCAGAGGGGGGTGGAGGAGGAGTGCAGGGGGGCATCGGTGGGTGTGGGCGGGGCTTCGGTGGAGAGAGTGGGAGGAGGAGTGCAGGGGTGGGGCCTTGGTGGGTGTGGGCGGGGCTTTGGCAGAGGGGGGTGGGAGGAGGAGGAGTGGGGCGTCGGTGGGTGTGGGCGGGGCTTCGGCGGAGGGGGTGGGAGGAGGAGTGTAGGGGTGGGGCATTGGTGGGTGTTGGCGGGGCTTTGGTGGAGGGGGGGAGGGGGAGGAGTGCAGGGGCGGGGCGTCGGTGGGTGTGGGCGGGGCTTTGGTGGTGGGGGTGAGAGGAGAAGGAGGAGGAGTGTAGGGGCAGGGTGCGTTGGCCGTTTGGCCATGTGTGCGCACCGGGGACTTTGCGCCATTGCGTATGCTCAGTTGTTTTGTCCTTTTGTGAGTGTGTTGTTGTGTTATTCAGTATTTTGATTTGCTTTGTTTCTACCTTGTGGGTTGAGGTATGTGCATGGGAATTTTGGTTAATTTTCGTTGGGGTTTTTTTTAGTTTTGCTGTCCCGTTGGACGCCCCTTACAGATTTATATATATAGATAGATTTGAGAGACAGGAGATTTGGTTGGACAGCTTTGCAAGTATGTAGTGGGGAGGGAAGATCCCTCTTGCACCACGTCCACATGCTTCCTCTCTCTGACCTTTCTCTTTCTTGCCAGGTTGCAAAAGGAGCTGTGCATCCAGACAAAAGAGTCCCTTCTCCCGTCTTCGGGAACCGAGAGCCTGAGCGACCCTCCTTGCCTTTTGGAGAACACCAATGAGCCGAAGGAGACCACCTCACCCTCCGGTGGAGAGGAGAACCTACATGGAGTGGCGAAGAAGAGCTGGGAAGACTGATCCTTCCAAGGAACGGGTCTCCGTCGGACCGAGGAATGATACGGACTGAGGAATGAGTCTCGAAGGGGTGTGCCAGGATCCCCCTCCCCTTTGCCATCAATAGTGGGGTGAAAATGTTGTAAACAATGACAGGTGTGGATGGAGTGCGTGGAAGGGGTGTTAGGAAGGGAGAGAGGGCTTTTGCTGGGTTTCCCAGCATTCCCACCAGGGCCAAACTCATCTGCTGTGATTTGGCAGCGAGCCATTGCAAGCACAGAGCAGCCACCATCTTGTAAGTGTGTTGACTGCCCTCAGTGAGTTATCTACAAGGTTGTATCAGCAGAACTGTAGTGTTCGGTCAATGGAAGTCATAGTAAGGTTGAGGTTGATGGGTATATCAAGCCTGGATGAGAAAAATACCTGATAGCCATCTTTAAGTATTGGAATGGCTGTCAAGTTGAAGAAGGACCAAACTTGCCTTTGACTCCTCCAAAGAGTGGGATCCGAACCCAAGAAAGGAGATTACAACCAAACTTTAGTGTTTGGGTTCACAGTACTCTGGATGTAGGTGAACTACAACTCCCCCAAATAAGGTAAATTTCTCCCATAGGCTTCCAGTATTTTTTTGCGAGTCATGAGGGTTCTGTGTGCCAAGTTTGGTCCATCCACTGTTTCCCTGGTTGTGGGTGAACTACAACTCCCAGAAAGGAAGGACAGTTCCCCCCCAAACCCCTCCAGTAATTGGGCATATCGGGTATGCATGCCATCATTGTTTGGGTTCATAATGTGCTCTGGATGTAGGTGAACTACAACTCATATAAATTTCTCCAAAGATCTCAAGTATTTTTTGTTGGTCGTGAGGGCTCTGTGTGCCAAGCTAGGCCTATCGTTGGTGGAGTTCAGAGTGCTCTCACATTGCAGGTGAACTATACATCCCAGTACCAAGGGTTTTGGGTGAACTACAACTCCCACAAAGGTCACAGTTTCTCTGGTTGTGGGTGAACTACAACTCCCACAAAGGAAGGTGAAGTTCACAGTTTCTCTGGTTGTGAGTGAACTACAACTCCCACAAAAGAAGGTCAGCTCCCCCCAAACCCCTCCAGGTATGCATGCCAAGTTCGGTCCAGATCCATCAGTGTTTGGGTTCACAGTGCTCTCTGGATGTAGGGGAACTACAACTTCTATAAATCCCTCCAAAGACCTCCAGTATTTGTTGTTGGTCATGGGGCTTCTGTATGCCAAGTTAGTTCCAGGTCCATCATTGGTGGGGTTCAGAGTGCTCTTAGGTTGCAGGTGAACTATACATCCCAGTACCTACAACTCAAGTATTTTTGTTGGTCGTGAGGGCTCTGTGTGCCAAGCTAGGTCTACCGTTGGTGGAGTTCAGAGTGATCTCACATTGCAGGTGAACTATGCATCCCAGTACCTACAACTCCTATAGGGTTTTGGGTGAACTACAACTCCCATCATGTCAGAGAAACTCTATCAGTACTTAAAGTTTGTTATGTTGGGCAAGTTTGCTCTGGATGAATCATTGGTGGGGTTCCGTGTGCTCTCTGGCTGCAGGGTAAACTACAACTCCCCCTATGGTGAGTCAGTCCCCTCAAACCCCTCCAGTAGGTTGAGTTAGTCATGGGGGCTCTGCATGCCAAGTTTGGACCAGGTCCATCATTGGTGAAGGTCACAGTTTCTCTGCTTGTGGGTGAACTACAACTTCCACAAAAGAAGGTCAGCTCCCCCCAAACCCCTCCAGGTTGGTCCAGATCCATCAGTGTTTGGGTTCACACTGCTCTCTGGATGTAGGGGAACTACAACTTCTATAAATCCCTCCAAAGACCTCCAGTATTTGTTGTTGGATTACGACCAAACTTTAGTGTTTGGGTTCACAGTACTCTCTGGATGTAGGTGAACTACAACTCCCCCAAAACAAGGTAAATTTCTCCCATAGGCCTCCAATATTTTTTTGCGAGTCATGGGGCTTCTGTATGCCAAGTTAGTTCCAGGTCCATCATTGGTGGGGTTCAGAGTGTTCTTAGGTTGCAGGTGAACTATACATCCCAGTACCTATAAATCATGGTGAATTCTCCCCAACCCTCTCAGTTGCTAATCAGTTCCTCTGTTTGCTGTGTGGCATAGAAAATAATAGAAAAGGGTTAAGGGAGTGGCAGTGGGTGGGGTCGTGCACATTCCACACCAATGGAGAGAGTCAGAAACACTGGCATGTCTGTGGTGGAGGAAAGTTGTGAGGTCTGTCAGAAACCCCCCCCCCCCCCCATTGTCCTCCTTTGTGGCTCTTCAATAAAGCCTTTGAGAATATTTACTACTTCATCGCACTAGAATCCACTTTAACTCCAGTTTCTGCCTCCTGGTCCAGATCCATCGTTGGTTGAGCTTACAGTGTTCTCTGGGTGTAGGTGAACTACAACTCCTATAAATCATGGTGAAATCTTCCCAAATCCCTTATTCAGTTGCTGATCATATCCTCTGTTTGCTGTGTGCCATAGAAAATAATAGGAAAGGGTTGAGGGAGCGGAAGTGGGCGAGGTCATGCAAATTCCACACCAATGGAGAGAGCCAGAAACACTGGGATGCCTGTGGTGGAGGAAAAACAGAAAATCTAGTATGAAATTGTCCCCAAATGAAAGCTTTCACTCGGGTGGTGGGCAGTGTGGTGTTTGTGGAGGACATTGGCAGGGCTCTTTGACTCACTATAACCTGCAATGTCATTGGAGGGAGGGCCATTGGTGTCTCCTGAGCAGTGGGAGTTAGAGCTGTTAGTGGAAGTGGGAGCTTGTCTGTGTGAGTGGACACCCCAGCCACATACATACATACATATTTTCACTTTTATTATGTGTATAGATAGATAAGAATGAATATACACACACACACACACAAGCCATCCCCTGCCACACGTTGCTGTGGCCCAGTCTGGTGATCTGGAAAATTAAGTAATGGTATCTAATCTATGTAATTTCTTTCTGCTTGTGGGTAAATAGTATTTCTTGTTGTTTCTTTGTCAGTGTTGATGTGGAGAGTGTCTGGTTTGCCTACTCTGGAATATGCAACATATCATAGTCCTTCTTTAGGGGTCCCTTTCAAATCTATGATATTATATCTCCGAGTGTGTGTGAATCATATATATCTATCTATATCTATGGCTGGATGGCTCTTTGTCAGGAGGGCTTTGATTAGGTTTTCTTTCCCTGGTGAAGAGAGTTGGACTGGATGGCCTTAAGTATTTTCTGTTGGTCATGGGGGTTCTGTGTAGGAAGTTTGCCCCAGTTCTGTCGTTGATGGGGTTCAGAATGTTCTTTGATTGTAGGTGAACTATAAATCCCAAGAACTACAACTCCCAAATGTCAAGGTCTATTTCACCCAAACACCATCTGTGTTCATATTTGGGCATATGGAATATTTGTGCCAAGTTTGGTCCAGATCCATCATTGTTTGAGTCCACAGTGCTCTCTGGATGTAGGTTCACTACAACTCCAAAACTCAAGGTCAATGCCCACCAAACCCTTCTAGTGTTTTCTGTTGGTCATTTGAGTCCTGTGTGCCATGTTTGGTTCAATTCCATCATTGGTGGAGTTCAGAATGCTCTTCGATTGTAGGTGAACTATAAATCCCAGTAACTACAACTCCCAAATGTCAAGGTCTATTTCCCCCAAACACCATCTGTGTTCATATTTGGGCATATGGAATATCTGTGCCAAGTTTGGTCCTGATCCATAATTGTTTGAGTCCACAGTGGTCTCAGGGCGTAGGTGAACTACAACTCCCAAACTCAAAGTCAATGCCCACCAAACCCTTCTAGTGTTTTCTGTTGGTCAGGGGAGTCCTGTGTGTCACCTTTGGTTCAATTCCACCATTGGTGGAGTTCAGAATGCCACCTCTCCAAAGTCAACATCGACACTGAAATACAACACCGCCTGAGCTCTGCGAGTGCAGCATTTTTCCGAATGAAGCAGAGAGTGTTTGAGGACCGGGACATCCGTAGGGATACCAAGGTGATTGTTTATAGAGCTATTGTCCTCCCAACCCTGCTATACGCCTGCGAAACGTGGACTGTCTACAGACGTCACATGCAACTCCTGGAACGATTCCATCAGCGATGCCTCCGGAAAATCCTGCAAATCTCTTGGGAAGACAAGCGGACAAACGTCAGCTTGCTGGAATAAGCAAAGACCACCAGCATTGAAGCAATGGTCCTCCGCCACCAACTCCGCTGGACCAGCCACGTTGTCCGGATGCCCGACCACCGTCTCCCAAAACAGTTGCTCTACTCCGAACTCAAGAACTGAAAACGGAATGTTGGTGGACAGGAAAAGATATTTAAAGATGGGCTCAAAGCCAACCTTAAAAACTCTGGCATAGACACTGAGAACTGGGAAGCCCTGGCCCTTGACTGCTCCAGCTGGAGGTCAGCTGTGACCAGCAGTGCTGCAGAATTTGAAGAGGCACGAACTGAGGGCGAAAGGGAGAAGCGCGCCAAGAGGAAGGCCAACCCCGACCGAGACCGCCTTCCACCTGGAAACCAATGCCCTCACTGCGGAAGAAGATGCAGAGCAAGAATAGGGCTCCACAGCCACATACGGACCCACAAGAATATTGGAAGACAATCACCCTCGGAAAGCGAGGGATCGCCTAAGTAAGTAAGTATGGGGTCCCTTCCAACTCTTCTTATTCTATGAGTCGGACTTTGAATTCAGTTATGTAAGATATTCCTGATGCTGAGAGTTGTTTGATGCCTCCTTCAACGGGCTTATTTAAGAAGTTGGGTGTTGGGAGGCTTTAGCTGCGAGTTCTTCAATGGGCAGAGGGTTGGACTAGATGGCCTTTGAGGGCTCTTCCAACTCTAGCCTTCTCTTAGGTTCCTTTCTCATTCTTGCTCTGCCTTCCTCTCTCTGTAATGTCAGATTTAGCTGGTTAGAAACAAGCTGCCACGTCTTCCGATTCACAGCTCCAGCTTTTTATAGAGGACAGCTTTGCGTCTGAAGATACTGTCAAGTCCGAGTCTAAGAAAAGAGAGCTTCGTTGGCTGGCAGCAGATGGAGAGCAGACCGCCCTCGCCCTGAATGCTCACGAAATAGATTTCTGTCGAAATGATCAATTATCTATGCACTTTTATGCAAATATAGTCACGGTATTGCCATTTGAATTCAAACTCAGCCATATCCCATTCATCTGGTAAGCCAGTTAAGACGGAAAGGCAAGAGGTTATGTTCCCAAAACTGTGAGAGCTGTTCAGCAGTGGAACTCTCTGCCCCAGAGTGTGGTGGAGGCTCCTTCTTTGGAAGCTTTTAAACAGAGGCTGGATGGCCATCTGTCAGAGGTGATTTGAATGCAATATTCCTGCTTCTTGGCAGAATGGGGTTGGACTGGATGGCCCATGAGGTCTCTTCCAACTCTTTGATTCTATGATTCTCTGAAACATCTTCTGACGTCTTCTGACCCAGTTCTGAACTTCTTAGTGTTGGTTTGTTATCGGCCATCACTTTATTTCCCAGGAGTCCTCGTGGACAACAAGTTAAACATGAACCAAGAATGTGATGCGGCGGCAAAAAAAAGCCAATGGGATTTTGGCCTGCATCAAGAGGAGCATAGTGTCTAGATCCGTGATGGTGAACCTATGACATGCGTGTCAGCACTGACATTCATAGCTATTTTTTATGACAAGCTGCCAGAGAAGTACACCTTATAAGTGCCAATCTAATTCCATCCTTAAATTTGTAAAAGGCGCTACAAATTTAACATCTGCACGTTTGAGCATTGTTCGCTCCAGAACTCAGCATGGAATATACATTTTTCTTATTTAAACTATAAATATTGCAAAA